ATTAATTGTGGATCTTCAATTGGATCCTCATAATGATTACCTCGATTGGTATAACTAACCAAATTAAGGACGATATCGGATTTAGCTGCTCTTGATCGAGCTACTACTACTCCAGCTTGCTTGTGATGCTGCCGTATCAATAGCTTTTAGTTACTCCTGATTTTGTACGTGTTGTGTGTGCTGATGTGTGTATCAGTGGAAGGAAGGAGTTGTGAGCAACAGCTGGACCTGGAAACTACTACCATCCATCATTCCATCTAACCACCCTTTGCTAGCTTGTACGTATATGTAGTAACCACACTAATGTTACTGGTTGCTTTGGATCAGCTCATTAATCTCAAGCTAGCAATATACTCCCTCCATCTACTTTTGATAGTCATATTTTATCTTGGCACACAGACTAACGATAAGTGATTCTACTTATCATCCATTTAAACATGCTACTAGTCATTCCTCGTGAACAAGCGATTCATTAATATTTACATTTCTCGATGCCCATGTAGCCAATCTTGTGTGGAGGAATAGAGAATCACGCATTAAATTCGAGAAAGACACTAAGATGATAGGTTGTTGGATTGAAATATGCCTATCAAAAATAGATTTTTCAGATTTGGAAATATGACTATCAAAAGTAGATGGAGGGAGTACTTTGTCAAGTGGTCCTGTAGAAAATGCTCTGTACACTATTTAAAATAATAATTTTCAGCAACAATCTCTTTATTCACCTTCGCCACCCGCGCGGGGGTGTGGGGGGCGCGCTCTCGAGACGGCGAAAGGATTAAAATCCTTTGCAGTCAAATGCACGGTGCATTTGTCACTAATCTATGGGCCCACATATCAGTAACAAAGTCACGTGATTTCGATTGCAGATGATCCTTATCCGCAGTGGTGACGCCCCGAGGAGGTGATGCCGCTGCCCCTGCCGAAGCACACCACTATCATCATCGATGCGCACCTGCTCCGTTGGTCTTCTCGCGCGTCGCTGGACCCACCGTCGTCGTCGTCGCAGTCCACCAACCTTCTCGCACGCCTTCGTCGGCCTACATATTGAGAGAGAGAGAGGATGGACAGCGGAGGTGAGAGTAAGAGAGAGGGAGAGGGAGCGGCGAAGGAGCCATCGTCGTCATTGCCCCATCCACTGGCGCCGGATCCGCCCACCGTCATTGCCCTAGCCACCATCGCCACCATTGTCATGGCTGAGGACTATATTTGGTGGAGGAAGGGTGAGAAAGGGGGGCGCTGGAGGAGGGGGTGAGGAGAAGAGAGAAGAAGGGAGGAGAGGGGTGAGGAGAGTGTGCGGTGAGGAGATTTTTTTTAAGAGATAGGAGAGGAGAAAAAAGAGGGGGAGTGGGGATGGGCCGATAGCTGACCTGGTGCTAGGTGGGCCTCTTAACAGAACCGCTTACGAAAATAAGTTTATTTTCGCATGCGGGCCTGTTAGGAAGTTCGCCTATAAAAATTGGTTTTCTTTTTCATACGAGTTTTGTCCTCTCGGACCGATATTATCACAGGTGGACGATGTAAGCTAGAAGGTGACTCATATGCCAAAATCCAATTTTATAGTGCGTTATGATCTTATATATCTTTTAAGACAAATATTTGCATGTCTTTTTAAAACTAAGCATCTGAGAAGTTATTGTTTTAAACTTTTGAATCTTATCCTAAACATATGGGTAGTAAATACTTTCTGTTGCTCTCTCTCGAAGGTTTTAAGACATGAGACTCCATTGCAAGAAGCAAACACCGACATACGCACTTAAGTTTCTCTCTTGGAGAAACAAAATGGACGATCAGCAGGCATGTACAGTGCTCCAAGAAGAGTAACAAAGAAACTACCACTACAGAACATGCATGTACAGTGCTCCAAGCTAACATTTAAACTATTTTATACTACTCCCTCCGTATTTTAATGTATGACGCCGTTGATTTTTCGACCAACGTTTAACCATTCGTTTTATTCAAATTTTTTGTGCAAATATGAAAATATTTATGTCATGCTTAAAGAATATTTGATGACAAATCAAGTCATAATAAAATAAATGATAATTATATAAATTTTTTTGAATAAGACGAATGGTCAAACGTTGATAAAAAATCAACGGCGTCATACATTAAAATATTAAAATATAGAGGTAGTACTATATATCAATTTTCTAACTTTCTATAAGTGCACATTGTGAAGGGAATTTGATCCATGCATGCATGAACAGAAGAATCATTTCTGATAATCTGATAGACTGATACTATACACGTGGGGGACGAGTACTGCACGTGTGAGAGTCTGCAATGTGCCAAGAAGCTTACTATTCGATCGCATCGTATCCTTCTTCATCGGGCATTACAAATTTACAATACACTGAGGAAGAAACAAGATCCGGATCATCTTACTGGGTCGTAGGACCAACATGTTTTTTAATCATAAACATCAATTATTTTACAGTCATTTGACTCCAAAGGCATATGTGTACAGCTAATCTCCATATATATTCTTCTACTAGTTCTTCGTTTCATTTCATATACAGAGATCTGATAGAGCCACTGTTTCTAGTCGCCATTACAAGACACTATAATTGGATTTGGCTAATTAAAAATATATTGATGATAAAGTAGCAATATAATGACAGCCCTATCTGCTTTTGACAATGAAAATAATATTGCTATATAGGAGTACTGACCTGGTTCAAAAAACTTTGCAGCTAAGATTCAATGTACTACAGTCCCAACGACACACACACACACACACAGACACACACACACACACACACACACACACACACACACACATATATATATATATATATATATATATATATATATATATATATATATATATTACGTGCCAATATCGCCTTGCACGTCGCAATCTCACTAATTTATATGAAAAATTAATTTCTCAGGTCAATCCATTTTGATCTCCTTTAGACAAACATAAAGATATACTTATATATTTTTATTATTTTGTGCAATGTCTAATGGATATACTTATATCTTTATGAACACTAATCCATAAAGGCATTCATCATAATCCCAGCTAAGTAGTAGGAGTACTACAAGATTTCAGGTAGGTACATATAACACTTTTCACATAATTAGGAGTGGTCCGCATCATCAACAGCTAGCTAGCAGCTGCAATCCCCTTTTTATATATAATTTTTCAAGAACATATGATACAATTCAGATGGCTCCAATGCAAGCGATCGAAAGCTTTTGTTAATAACAAGACTGGATTAGACTAAACTAAACTAAATTAATGGCGAACAAGTTGAATTAAGCTGTCATGATTAGCTAAACAAGACGTAATTAACATGCTACCAGCTGATTAGTGTACTAATTAATTTGATGACGAGACAGAGTGTTGGCTATAGCTAGCTATATAGGTAAGGGAATTGATGAATCAAGGGAGGGTTGAGCTGGCATGATTTGGATCCTTGTTTAGGAGAAGAAGGCGAGACAAGAGATAGGTAGAGGAAGAATTAAGCTATGTTTGGTTGGATTTGGGAGGGTTGTCTCATGTCTGGCTGGCTGAAAGCTGCTGAACAACAGCTGGGCCTGACCCTCTTGCTTTGCTTCAATTCAATTCCAATCACATTCGATTTATTTTCCAAAATGGAGGCGTCAGTCGTTTAAATCAAGAAGACATTTGTACCGGAATTCCTTTTCTGCTGGTCCATGTACTGCTACCAGCAGTTGTGGGAAAGAAATTGTACTAGAGCTCTTTAGCATATTTCTATGGGTAATAATAATAATAATAATAATAATAATAATAATAATAATAATAATAATAATAATAATAATAATAATAATAATAATAATAATAATAATAATAATAATAATAATAATAATAATAATAATAATAATAATGTGTTTTTATAAAATATGCTAGTATTACTTGTTTGCTTATTTGAATACATAGTACTCATTCGATTAAAACAAATATTAGTTTATCGTGTAATATCAGAAAATATATAGTAGAACAATTTGTCAAAGTAAATAATAATGGTGAGCCACCACCACCATTAATACCTTTTCATAGTAGTATACATAAAGGTCTTTATAGGTTAAATGGCATTCGATCTTAGGTTACGTGGGACGGAGACGGTAATACTACTTTTGTCTCAAAATATAATAACTTTTAGCTATAAATTTAGACACATATATAGTGGTGTTTGAATCTCATGAAGATGAAAATAAATATAAAGATTAAGTGTTTCACGTAAAACGAGGTGGTAATAATATGTGATTAATTGAGTTTTAATTACTACAAACTTGAAAAATGGATTAATCTGATATTTTAGAACAACTTTCATATAGAAAGTTTTCACACGAAACGCACCGTTTAGCAGTTTGAAAAGCGTGCCATTTTAATCTACAATTTCATCCACTCCTTGCAGTGGATTCGAATGGGCCATAATTGTTTGGATTTATTGCTAAAAGTGCTTATATATTTTAGGATGGATGACGTATTTTTTTTCTTGCCCTGCATACTTGGATCTTGAAGGCTGGAGTTGTGGCTTGTAAAGTTGCGATGAGCATGGGCGCATGGCGTGCGCTAGCTACGCGCGGCGCGACGGCACCGATCCCAACCACCCACTTCGCAGCAGCAGCACACAGCTTCACTCCACTCTCCGCTCTCTCTGCCACCCGCTGGGCCCCACCCACGAGCCAGTGGGACCCACCCCGCATACTCAGACAGATAGGAAGAGTACAACCCGCCGGGTGGGCCCGGCCTGTGCAGCATGACCAAAGCAAAGCAACCAACGAGACATCCCATGTGGCCGTGGACCCCACAGCCCAATCACCCTTTTCCAGCTCGGCTGGCCCACTTCGGGCTCCTCAGCTTCGTCTTCTTCCTACTCTACTCCACTCCACTCCACTCCAGCTGGTGAGAGCGCGAGTTCCTCTCTCTTCCCTTCCAAGTTCCAACAACAACCCACACACCTTTTTGACTGCCGGGACCGATTTGGCCAAAATAAACTCCGAATTTGAAATTTAAAACATAATAGACACGAAAAGTTTTTATAACTTGTTCATTCATTCATCATGATCCCGAACTTGCTCTTCTTCTTCTTCTGCTTCCTCCTCTGCTTCTAGACTTTAAAAAGCACCTAGAAGTCTACCAAAATTACAAACCCCCTCATCACCATTTCACCACCCAAAAAAACCACAAAAAAATCACGAGTAGTGATTTCAAAAACAAAATAAAAAACACAACACAATCTGATCACCCAACAAAAACGACAGAGACCAGAAAACGACGACGACGAACGCTAGCGCTAGCTGTACAATGTTGTTCCCGATTCCGATCGATCGATCGATTCACCGCCGCCTCGTGTGCCTCACCGGAGCAGGTCGGAGCGCGACGCCGAGAGCTCGCGGCGGAGGCGGTGGGAGAAGAGCCGGCACGCGTCCATGCTCAGGTCGACGGCGGCGGCGAGCGCCACGAACGCCGCCGCGTCCTCCGCGCACCCGACGTTCTGCACGCCCACCTCCACCGCCGGCCGGCTGCATTTCCCCTCCCCCTGCACCGCCGCCGACATCACGAACCCGCGGCAGCTGCCGAACGGCCACATCCCGTAGTCGCCGCTCCCGCACGGGCTGCACGCCGGCGACCCGCTCCGCCCGAACTGTTGCGTTGCCGTCAGGTCGATCGCGAACCGGCCGCCCTTCGACGCCGGGATGGTGGACTCCGCCACGGACACGCCCACGCCCATGCCGGTTGGGTCGGGGAGGACGAGCTCGAACCGGTACCCGAGGCTGTCGCCGGCGGCGGCGCCCGCGCCGCGCTCGCGCCAGCATTCCAGGCGACCCCATGGCTTCCACGTGCCGTCGCCCGGGCGGAGCACCAGCCACGCCCCCGGGTTGGATTTGCTCACCCTGTCCGTCCCCGGCGACGCCACGAACGGCGTCACCATTGATGCCAGCGCCACCGGGGAGCCTGACAGGTCGTGCACCGTCACCGACCACCCCTTCCTCTCCTTCCCCGCCCGCTCCCTGTCGGAGCCGAACGCCGTCAGCCAGTTGCGCCCGCCGCTCCCCATATCGGCCGGCATTGACCTGAATCGTATGAAATTGTCGTCAGAACGATGTGACATTTGACTGGGAATTTGATCGAACACCATGAGGGCAAGAAATTTTACCGGGAGCGGAGGTCGCTGTTGCTGCGGCAGGAGAACTTGCAGGTGAACATGGGCTGCTTCATGCTCCCCTGCACCTGGAGCACCTGCGGGCTGCACTCCGGCTCGCCGTCGAACTCGAACACGAACCTCGGGTCGGGCTCGGCGCGCACCGTGATGTTGAGCTGCGCGTTCGCCGCCGACACCGACGAGGGCTTGCGCCCGCGCTTCCCGATGCAGATCCAGCTGCTGTGGTACACCACCGGCTTCGCCGAGGCGCCCTTGAGGTCGAGCGGGATGACCACCTTCCCGAGCAGCCTCCCGGAGCCGCCGCCGACGCCGCACGTGGTGCCCCTCCGGCCAGCGTACACCACGATCTTCAGCCTCGCCGTGCGCGACCCGAACAGCGACGGCTTCGCGGTGAGGCGGTCGAGGTCGGCCTTGGAGAGGTGGAACGCGGCGGCGAGCGCGCCCGTCGCCGGCGCTGGCGCCGGCGCCGCCGATGCCTCCGGCGAGGGCGGCAGCAGCAGCGGCGCGTCGGCGGTCTGGTACGGCAGCTTGTTGAGGCGGATCTTGCAGTAGCACGGCGAGGTGGATGGGTGCACCCCGGCCCCGGCTCCGGCGGGGCGCGGCGCCACCGGCATCTTCAGCGAGAGGTTGCCGACCAGCACCCGCACGAACGGGCACGGGTCCATCGAGATCGCTCCACTCGAAGCTTCTCCTCTTCCTCGTCGGCGGCAATGGCGATGGCGGTGGGGGAGGTGGAAGGAGTGGTGACGAGGGATCATAGGGTATAAGACTCGCGCGCCATTGCCGTGGCCAGCCTGGATCCCCCTCCCGCGCGAGGCTACTACTATTTCACGCGATCCAGCTCATACCCAACTCACTTCCATGTGGGCCCCGGTGTTTCGTGACCCCACCTGTCAGTGGCTATTAGGTTTCGTGCGTGTGGGTGTGGTTAGGGTGGCGTGGGGATGCGTGTGGCGCGGTCGCACCGGATCCGGGTTGCGGGCCGCTTTTGCGGCGGGGCCATCGCTGTGGCCGGAAATAACTCGAACTCCGCGGTAATTTTTTTCTTTTTTTTCAACCTTTTGCAGTTTTTACCGTGGGTGAAGTGGATGGAAAAGGAAAAAAGAAAGGAGAGGGTTTGCGTGGGAGGAGGAAAGGGAAGGCGGGAGTTCGGTGGGACCCACGGTGTCGGTGAGTGATGATTTGTGCGTGGAGTGGGATCGGGGGTCTCCTCGTGGGCCCCACTGTCAGCCTCAGTACGTGGAACTCCCGCGCCCGCGGGGCTCGGGTGGTTAGTTGCGATTTGAAGTGGAGTCAAGTCGTTAACGGTCGTGGGTAAAAATAACGGAACCCCATCTACAAAAATAATTCTACCCTCGATCCCAAAATATAAAAAATTTTAAAGTTAGAGACGATTATTAAGAAAATATGTAAAATTAAATATGTAAAATATAAAATTATTGAGAAGTGAAGGTATATGGGAAAAATGAATAGTGCAGGATTATGATTGGTTAAGAAGGGAATGTTGGTGAAGATATTATTATATTTTAAGCAAATTCTAAGTATTAAAAGTTATTATATTATAGGACGAACGGATTACTCCTAGTTGCAATAGAAAAAAAGAAAGTTCTTTTACTGCATTTTTTACTCATACTCTCTCCGTCTCAAAAAAAAAAAAAAGACAAACCCTGAGTTTCTGTGTCTAACTTTAACGGTCGGTCTTATATGAAATTTTTTTATAATTTGTATTTTTATTGTTGTTAGATGATAAAACATTATTAATATTTTATGCGTGACTTATCTTTTTAATTTTTTTTATAATTTTTTTAAATACGACGGACGGTCAAATATTGGACACGAAAATCAGGGTTTATCTTTTTTTAGACGGAGGTTACTGATGTTTTTTTTTACCGGGGAGTACAGAATGCCAGTGGCTGATACGGAAAGTGCGGTTTAAATTCCTGCTCGACGAATCACGAAACCTAAACAGCCTGTCGATTTGACCTGCACAAAAAGGATCAGAGTACGCTATCTCTGTTTTTTTCTTTTGCCCTTTTTGATAATCTTGCTGTCGTGCAGTGCAGACAGCAGGGCACGGGATAGAGGCAGAACGTACCAGTACCAAACAACACATGATGAGAAAAAAAAGGGAAAAAAGAAAAAAAAAAGGAACCCGTGCGTGCGTACAGGTACAGCCGCATCTATCCGTCCCGCGAGCTCACGTTACCCTACTGTCAATGTCATGGGGCCCGACGTATGCTGGCCCCACCTGTCAGCGAGAGTGTGTAGAGAGAGAGGATAAGAAGGGGTGACGAGGAGGGGGGCAGCTGGGAACAGGCTGTACTGGATGGATGGGGGTTTGTTCTAGTTTTGATTTAAAATTTTTGAAATTATTATGTTTTTTTTTCTTTCAAATTCGAAATGCCCATGCTGCGGTGGTGGTGTAGGCTGGGCTGGCTGGACCACCTCCCAGCTGTTTGTTTGGGTTGCAGAGCCAACCGAAGGGGGTGGGGCCCACCTGTACGTACTACTACACTGACCAGCTCGTGCTCGTGCCGCTACAGTTATTTTCAGGTAGGAAGAGGGTACGTGTGCTGTCGCATCCTGTGATTGTTGTTTTCCACATTGCCACGATTTCCACAATATAATTAACGCTAATGTATAATTTAACTTGTAAAATATACCAGTCACTTTTTTTAAAAAAAAAATCGTTGCTCTAACTTAAACTACTACTCTATCTGTAAAAAAAAACATAGCAACACAATAGAATATCATCTAATTCTACTAATCTGGACTTTTTTTTAGATAATGACTAATTTGGACATGTTTCAGATTAATTATATTATGTGATGTTTTATTTAGTAGTAGTATTAAGGTTGTTATATTTTGAAATGGACTGACTGACTAATAATAGTAATTTTTTAATGGTTAGACTACGATGAACGAAGATTAGTGCTAATGCTAAGGACATAATAATCTTTGATAATATGGTATCTTTAAGTGCTTATTATTCTTTTTGCAAAAAAAAAAAGATAAGTGGCCCAAACTTGAATAGTTCTTGGTGATAAGTAGTACTTAGGAATGAAGGGAGTAGTTTTTTTATATATAATTATCTAGATTATTTTTATACATAAAGTTATATGCATTCTGGGAGTGATATTTTGTAATTCAGATTGAACTGTTGAGCTAGACTGCCCTTCTAAATGGCAGTCTAAATCTTGTGTTATTCAGATTACTAGCTAGCCTGCTGATTTGGGGCCTGCACTATCATCAATACCAAGCTAATTGAGCTAAGCATGACCTTCCTCCGTTTCAAAATGTTTGACACCGTTGACCTTTTAGTACGTGTTTGACTATTCGTCTTATTCAAAAAATTTAAGTAATTATTTATTCTTTTCATATCATTTGATTTATTGTTAAATATACTTTCATGTACACATATAGTTTTACATATTTTACAAAAATTTTTAAATAAAACGAACGGTCAAACATGTGCTAAGAAGTCAACGGTGTTAAACATTTTGAAACGGAGGGAGTACGTCCTCTGACTTGCTCTCTGTCCTGTCCTGATTGCTCCCAGCTGGAGCAACAAATGGCCACTAATTCTCCTGCTTGCTCCATAGCTGTTGGTTATCACATCATCTTCTACTATCCAATTATTTGTTGCAGCTAGCAATCATTTCTTTAATGCCATCACCTTAAATTATTAACCCTAAATTGATTGGCAATTAGCTGCTGATAGCCAGTGGTTGGGTTCAGTTTCTTTGTCATTTGGCCCCAGCAGGAAGAGCTTTTGTCTGCAAATTCAGCTTCATTAGATTACAGTAGTAGTACTAGCTTAGACCCACAGCATCCTTCTTCTTTTCTTTATCAACAGTTTGACGTTTTGAAAAAGGGTGCACTTTTAATCATCCAAAAGTGCATCCTTAGTTGCATCCTAAATAGCTATAGTAGTACTAGGGGCTTTTTATTAGTTTTTGAAGGCAATTCAGTGTTTGTCGCTGTGTTGTTCATGATTGATATGATCTACCGTTAGGTTCAATTGTACTACTGTCACTCTGTCAGGTGATTAATCTGTAATCGCCCTGTCTTAAGCTAAGGTTTTGTTTGAAGGAGCTCATGATTCGAAATACGACTGATGAATAACCAAAGCTGAAATTCTAAGGTTTTCACTTCTAATTCATTTTTTTATTATATAATCATATATTTCTAGGATCCATGAGAAAATATGTATGGTTTTTTCACTTCTAATTTATTTTTTATTATGTAATCATATATTTTTAGAATCTAGAAGACAATCTAGATGATTTGAGGAGCTGGAGATTCTAAAAGAAACCATACCAGAAGCTCCTTAAACATGGCCTAAAGATCTTATGCTTTGCTTGGCAATGTTGATCAGTGAGTACAATTAGCACAAATCGTTCAATTGAAGAATAATTCAGTAATTAAGCTGCGTATGCTGTATCTGAGCAGGCATCACACAACAAGCTGAGCAGTACAACAACATAGGATTCCACCTGTGCTCTTCTGATCTCGTCTATTGTACAATTTAAACTACTACTAACCACGCCACTAATCACCAAGCTGGGCTTGGCTTTACGCCAGGAGATCATGTGATTAATTTTATCCGATCGAGTAGTGTGCTTGCACTGCAATTTACAGCAACTTGCAAACCTCTGAAAAAAACAAACAAACTTGCAGGCCTCGTGCGAGTAGTTTACTGCTGCAGCATGCGCCCGATTTGATTAATTACAAATGGGAAGAGAGAAATGTAATCAAACATACAGTTTACAAGGATTCGATCAGTGATGGCATGATTAGTTTAAACCCTCGTTGTGAACTTGTTATAGGTCAGAGCTGTGTCAGAGGCTAATTAACTTGCAGATTTTGTTTCAGTTGAGTTGGATACTTTGACCACTACTGCATTGAGGATACCGGTAGCCGATGCAATGCGGCGACAGGTGAACCGTTGCAAAAACTTGAAGACCTTGAGCTGATTAATCAATGGATTAGGAGTAGTAATTAATCCTGATCGACCTGACTGGCGATTAGGATGCAGGGATTAGGACAAGATGATCGATCGAGCTTGTAGTCAAGCCTGGTTAGTGATTGTACTTTGACCAAATTATTCAAATACTAAGGAGAAAGCAAATGTTTAATTGGGGCAACTTGTTTCTCTCCTATATTTGCAGGGAATCTTGCATTGCATTGTTCTTGTTACCATTTTTTTAATAAGAAACACAGAACAAACCTCTCATGCGCTCATAACACGCGTAAACTCATCCTTATAAACGTACACTAATTTACTATTCGATAAGTGCGCTAATTGGCTAAGGAAGTAGCCAACACTAATTTTTTTTCGATGAACTACATATAAGAGTACTACAAAGCTATAAAAATCTAGATAACATTAGTACTCCTATATACTTCCTCCATTTCACAATGTAAGTAATTCTATTCTACATTCATATCGATGTTAATATGAATGTAGAAAATGCTAGAATAACTTACATTGTGAAACGGAGGGAGTAGTAAAATTTTGGAAGAGAAAAAACATATAAAAGAGAGAAGAAATGGGCTAATTGGGCCTTATCAGCCCAGCCCAGCCCAAGCGACGCATGAGGCAGCAGCAAGCAAAGCCTATCTCCTTCTCGCGGCTACGCGACGCCACACGCCGGCGCCATCGCCTTCCTCCTCCTCCGACTCCGACGAGCTCCGGCGACTCCGATGGACTTGGTGCGCGCGCTCGCCGCCATCCCGGCTCGTCACCCTCTCCCTCCCTCCTCGCTGACAAAGGCTCGCCGCCATGGGCCTCAACCATCGACGACCGTTCTGGCGCCGGTGCCAGGTAAACTCGCGTCGCGTGTAGAGGTCTAGGGTTCTTCAAGGCCGCAGCTCGCAGTCTGGGGGAAAAAGAAAAGAATTCTTCATTTGAAAGTGTGAAATACTGCTGCAGAAATTTGTTGGGAATTTGTAGTCCTGTGGTGCTGCCAATACACTCAATAGCTTATAGGAACTCATTTCCAAGCATTTTCTCATGTTATACTTGTCTTGAAACCATGAATGATTAGGATTGAAGAAGCCATTGGTTATTGTGATAGTGCCACTTTAGGCCTCGGGATGCATTTTAATTTCCCTTGTCCAATTAAACTATGTGTTATACTACAATTCTGAATTGGGACTAGTAAAAAAAAATGGCCAAACATTTGGAGCATCAACATAATAGTACATCCCCAAGTCCCAAGTACATGCAATATGAGAACTCAATGTAGTCTTGAGGAGTTATGAGAAGATAAATTTCTTGGGATTAACAATGATGTTAAGCATGATATGCATGTTTACTGGATGAAGAAAAATAATAAGCGAAGAGAATCTGTTGCAAGAATAATTATATTGCATCGATGGATTTTTTTTTTTTGAAGAGCAGGCAAAAGCATCAATGGATTATTTTGACTCCAAAATTAAATGCTTATTACAAGACACTGTTAATTACTTCTGTACAGGTGGAATGTTGGATAGAAGAAGACTGCTGTTGATTCCTGCAATCAGCATCAGCATTGGCTCCTTCGACAAGGGGGCAGCAAAAGCTGAGTTTGCTGATAGTGAGTCATTTATCACACTCGATACTCCATTGAGTGATCTGTTTACTTTTTAGGTAGAATGGAATCACTCTTAGCACATACTGTTAATCATGTCTTGCTTCTTTCATGTCACAATTTCAGTGCCTGCGCTTCGTGGGAAGGATTATGGAAAGACGAAGATGAAGTACCCAGATTACACTGAAACAGAATCAGGTCTTCAGTACAAGGTGAATATATATATACTTTTATGGAGTGATTTACATTTTGTAGCATTATCCAGGCATGATCACACATGTTCCTTATTTCTGTTCATAATTATAATGGTAAATTGTAGGACTTGAGAGTTGGTGATGGGCCTTCTCCAAAGAAAGGGGAAACAGTAGTGGTGAGTTATAAGCACCACATTTGATGTTCACCCATAGATAATCTGTATATTTGCATGTGTTATACATATTTCAATCTTTAGTGTTATCATTTGTTGATTTATGCCAACCCTGATATAGATTTGGATTGTGTGAGTGCACTTAAGGTTGATTGGGATGGCTACACAATTGGATACTATGGTCGCATTTTTGAAGCTCGAAACAAGACCAAAGGTGGTTCCTTTGAGGTACATATTGCCACCTGTAGACTGTAGTTTACACTACAGAAAGGAATACACTCAATAATATTGGAACGCTTTGCAGCACAGATATTTGTTTAGATTTGATTTGAATTATTTATTTTATTTGATTGATTCCACATCTGTAATATGAATTGCAGGGTGGTGATAAAGACTTCTTTAAATTTAAGATTGGATCAGGACAGGTGAATGACAAATTTAATCTAGCCAGCATCTAGTGTATCATTTTTTGGTTCATACTATTTTCCTTTTATCATGGCCATGTTAGTGAAAACTAACTATTCAATTGTTCGTATACAAATGCTCAAAATTTCAACTCCATAGAAATGTAGTCAATTCTGCCCAATTGAGAATCTTGTAGCTGCTGTCTGTAACTCTGTACAAGTGCCTTTCTGACAAATTGCATTTTTAACATTTAGGTCATACCAGCTTTTGAGGAGGCTATATCAGACATGGCTCCAGGTGGAGTTAGGAGGTCAGGAGTCATTTTATCTTTTTTGAAGAACCAGTTTCAATATAGGTAGATCTTTATAGTTTATATTTATGACATGTAAATGTAACATGGATGAAATTTATGCATTTCAGGATAATAGTACCACCAGATCTTGGATACCCAGACAATGACTACAACAAGTTGGGTCCAAAACCAACGACATTCTCGGTAATTTCTCTTCTTTTTTTTTTTTGGCATGGATGCACAAATTATGTCGATCAATTTTCTTAAATAACCAACATAACATTGTTTTCAGGGACAAAGGGCTCTGGATTTTGTTCTGAGGAATCAAGGGTTGATAGATAAAACTCTCCTGTTTGACATTGAGCTTTTGAAGATTATACCAAGTCAATAGTACATGTATATGATGTTCATTTGTTCCTTTGAAAGTAAAGTAATTCTGGCTTCTTTCATGTTCATTTACCGTTCTATCATTTGTCTTGCTTGACCCAGTAAAATGGCTTGCAGGGCAATGTTGCTGACCACTTGGAGAAAAAACACACAAGTTTTTGGCGTCGTACCAGTACCAGTCGACATGTAAATATGGGCCTGTTTAGTTTTCAAACAAAATTTTTCACGCTGTCACATCGAATGTTTGGACACATGCATAGTGTTAAATGTAGAAAAAAAAACCAATTACATAGTTCGACAGGAAATTGCGAGATGAATCTTTTAAGCTTAATTGCGCCAGGATTTGATAATGTGGTGCTACAATAAACATTTGTTGATGACGGATTAATTAGGCTTGATAAATTCGTCTCGAAGTTTTCTGGCAGAATCTGTAATTTGTTTTGTTATTAGACTACGTTTAATACTTTAAATGTGTGTCCGTATATCCGATGTGACATGTAGGGGCAAATTTTTTTGCCAACTAAACAGGCCCTATATATGCCATCAATTTGAATATGAACAGAAAATTTTCTAAGCATATATACATAAATATTGTATGCCAAATGCTTGTTGTACAGAACTGACACCACGGACGAATTCATTACGACAGTAATTATTATTCAAACCATCTTGATATGAGATGAACCACTTATACATCAATGCTACAAACAAAAAAAAAATCTGAATTGACCTCTCAAAATAAGCAGTTGATGACCAGTTTACTCGATCAGATGGCTCGTTATTTGTCAAATGTCAATGGAACTTCAGAACTGGATGGATGTAGCCAGAGTAGCAAGGAATCAGAGCATACGCAGGGACCCCAATTGTTTCTTTCATAATCAGACGACAAGGACCCATTTCATTGACAGGAGTTGAACAATGAGTAGAAAACAGAGTGCATGGCTGATGCAATTGGACAGACATTGCTATGCTACTCAACATCCTCCAGAATTCTCCACAAAGAACATATGCAGAGCACTACAACCTATACTAACCACAAGCATCAACAGCCAGACTAAGAACATCTCCAAGGGACTTGCTATCTCATTCTCCATGCCAAAAGAACAAAAGAAGAAGAAGCAAACATGCAAAAACAGGTGCTCCAACAGATTGGTTTTTTGCATTGCTATTCCATCTGTCTGGCTAAATGTAAATGAGAGAATCAGGTGGCTAAATCTGGCAGCCCCTGTGACTCTCCATCCTGATGATCATCTCCATCTTCTAGCAGAGCACCGAGCTGAGGCTCGAGGTCCCATGCCGCCTCGGAGGCGCGTTTCTTGAGCTCCATTGAGCTTGGCTGCCTCGTCCCGCGCATTGCCGGCTCCCCCCAGCTCTGGCTCCTCCGTCTGCTGCCGCCTCACCCCTACCAGGGCCGCCTCTTCCCTTGGTGGCGTGTCCTCCTGAGCTTCATTGAGCTCAGCCGCCTCGTCCCACGCATAGCCGGCTCCACCCAGCGCCAGCTCCTCCCTCTGTCGCCTCCGCCTAGTTCTGCCTTCAGATCACTGTCGTCGTCGTCGTCTCCTGGTTTGGCAGTGTGCGTGTACTAGGAGTATTGTTGCAGCCATGAATTCATCGTCGTCATCTGAAGACGACGACTCCAACACAATTTGCATGGATAAGCTCAAGCCAAAGTGATTCATTTGTGGTGTGGAGGTGAAGAAGCAAACAAGGAAGAAGAATGTTGTGGTAGCCTGGTAGAGAGGTAGAGAAGGAGCCTATATATAGTGTTGCAAAATAGCTGTTGGGAACTAGCTGTTGTAATATGGAGTCTGTTGGAGTGTGTTGGAATATGGAGAGCGAACTAGCCGTTGGGATATGGAGAGTGGAATATGGAGAGTCTGTTGGAGTGTGTTAGAATATGGAGAGCGAACTAGCCGTTGGGATATGGAGAGACTGTTGGAGTGCACTGGAATATGGAGAGGGAATTCTGTGGAGAGATGGAGAGCCAAATTTGCCAATTTGGTACCTTTCTAGAAGTCAACAATCAGCATTCAGCAACTCCAAAAGGAAAAACCATTCCAGTTAAATGCACAGACTGCCTCCCAGGAGTGGCTTCCCGCTCGCTCACCGTAATCCCACTTGAAGTTCCACACGACGTTCTTCTTTCTGCAAGGGAAGCCAAAACTCAATACAATAGCACATTTGAACACAATCTCAGTGAGACCAGTGAGCAACGCTTTCCGAAAACAAGCAGCACTGTTGCTTTTTCAGATCACCAAAAAACCCAAAGTTAACCCGTCAAAATTAACTTAAGTGTTAAGGAAATTGTCTGCTTCCAAGAAATGCCTATGCAGATCATTACCGGTTAGTTACCTTTTTACAAAAGAACAAAAACACATCCTTAACAGCCACCAAACAAGATAAAACGAGAATCAGAAGCTTTATATTTGCAGTGATCAATGGAGTGGACCTTGCCTGCATACTTATCATCTCTTGTCGAGGTCCTTCAGAATTCTCCAACTTCCACAGCCAATTAGAAAGCAGACGTATATCATAAGATTCAAATCAACGAACACTAACCTAGCATTATTAGGTTTGCACAATAGGGTCCAGCAACAAGGTGGCATTTTTTTACTATACTAGTCTGGATCAGAATTCTCCAACTTCCACAGCCAATTAGAAGCAAACATATATCATAATTCAAATCAAGGATCACTAACCTAGCATTATTAGGTTTGCACAATAGGGTCCTGCAACAAGGTGGCATTTTCTACTATATTAGTCTGGATCTGAGCAAGTATGTTCTTTTTTCTTTAGGAATACCAGAGAAGGAAATCAAGGCAGAAATCTTATCTTTCCAACAACAATCTGTCTTCTACCTTCTGTCACTGTTGCTTAAACATACACCATATAATTTATTATTCAATGATCAAACGATTTATACACGCTGATACATCAAGGGATGATCTAGGCAGAGACCCCAAGGAATTTTTTGCATCTAATACAAGTTTTATTCTACTCACTGCCAATAGACATTCAATTAATTAATGCCAGACACTTAATCTCAATCCATTTATTTAGAATAATACATAAAAGCTACTCTTCAACCTATGAATCAAATAACTTATCCCTATTTTTCCCTGTTGCTTTTCTTTTTCTTTCCTTTGGCATGTGTGGATTATCTGCAAATATTTGAATGTCCAAAAGTTGTACTCTCATCAGCATGTATTGGTAGAATTACGCATTTGTGGACACTTCGATGAATTGGAATTATGTTACCATGCTAAAGACAAAGTGTTGTGTGCAAAAAGACTTCGTAACTGGTACTTACAATGGAGCTCACCATGCCAATGTGAAGGATGTACCACCTGTCAGTGATATTGTGTGGAGCTTTTATGAGAGTGTTTATCCACCAAACAAATAAAACGTAAGCATCTTGATATGTACAACCCTTACTTCCTTCTATATAAGGTGCCTATCACTTCTATCGATCAAAGGAGCACATTTTTGCTCGACACAGATCTCTATAAAACTATTTGCAGTAGTAATCATTTAATAGTATCTATTATCCGACTGAGGATACCTTTGTTGCTAAACGTAGATCTCTATAAAACTATTTGCAGTAATCACTTAATACTAATAGTAGTCCATCTATTATCCAATTGTTGAGGATACCTGCTAAACGGAGATCTCTGCAAAGCTATTTGCAGTTATAGCTTAGTGGATTTCATTCTCCATTCCAGGACATTTATGAGACAGAATTTAGGCATCAATTTCCAAGGATTGAAACTTCTTTTTCAATCATTGGAGCACATTTCCTGGTAAATGTGATCTATAGGAAGTTTTCTATAGCATTCACATAGTAGTATCCAATCTCATTGGAGTATGGTTTTCTCATAGATTTTAGCAAGCTATTTGCAGCAATAAAATTGCAATTCTCGTTCTCCCTTGCGAATGTCTTCCCCTCATACATCTCCACTAAGCTATTTGCAAACATAGCAATTTCCATTCTCCACTGGAGTATGGTTTTCTCAAAATAGGTCTCCAACAAGCTATAATCGATTAGTAGTTCCCATCCTCCATTGGAAAATGGCTTTCTCGCTGTAGATTTGTAGGAACTATTTGCAACTTACACGCGGTAGTTCCCATTATCCATTGGAGGATGCATTTCATACCATATAAATCAACCTAGCTACATGGTATGTAGTTAATCGCTTTCGTTTTTAGGCCATTCAACATCCAAAAATGTCTCTCACCATAAAACTATAATTAGATATTGTTGGTATCGTATTAATTTGATTTCTATTTGAGGATGCCCTTCTCGCTATATATATGTAGCCAGCAAGCTACACCGTATACTATACAGTATTCTCTCTCTATTTACTAGTCAAGTATGGTGAGGAGGGGTAGAAGGAAAGGCGTGAGGTACATCGAAGAGGATAGAGATCGCAGCCTCACCCTCAGCAAGAGGCGTGATGGGCTGTTCAAGCTTGCAAATGACCTCTCCCTTCTCACTGATGCAAGCGTCGCAATTTGCCTACATGACAGCAATAAGGTACTGTTGTCCCACTATGCTTATGAATATGTCATCATGCTGTACCTTGAATTGTATTATTATTATTGTAATGTTAAATGGAATTCGTTTGAAATATTTGGTTATATTATTGCATTATTTACAACAGGCACAATTCTTTGGGGCACCATCGGTGAAACCTGTTGTCGATGCTTTTGTATCTGAGGCAGAGCCATTTGCCGATGAACAACTGAAGGCCAAGCTTACGTCAATGCAAAGTGAGCTGGTCCAGCTAGAGAATGAAGAAGAAGAGAAGGACAAGAAGACTGAAGAATCAATCCAGCGCTTCAAGGAGGCCCAAGAAGAGAGCTTAGGTATGGGTATGGCCAAGCATCTATTCTCCAGGCTAGAGGATCTCAGCCACGATGATATGCGTGAACTTTTAGATGTACTCTTGCCGCTCCAGCAAGATTTCAAGAAGCGGCTGCCTCCCCTACGTCGTGGCAGCAAGCTGCAAATTGGTGGATCAAGTGCGTGGGCACATCAGCAGCCCTCGTGTTCTCGCTTCTTGGCCTCACACCGTCCATTCACTCCATTACTTCCTGGAGGGACATCAGGAGTTCCGATGATACCTCCGCCTCCAGTGCCGGGCTCACCATGGTCTCAGATATTTCCGCTACGGCCACCACTGTTTCCTTCTCCAGAGTTAGTGCCATCCCAACAATTACCACCAGTATCACCGCCGCAGAACACAGTGGCACCTCCTCCAATGCATGCTCCATTGGTGCAACAGCCACTTACTAATCAATCATCGGCGGTTCCCCTGCTGACGCAATGGCAAATGCGTTTTGGGGATCAGCCACCCGCTGAAGTGCAAGCATGCACTCCCGTAGAGCAACCTCAGAATGACAATGCAGTCCATACCCCAACCTTCAGCGACAGTTTCCTTTTGGAGTTGTTGGCTGATGTCAGCGATGATGGCATTGCTACTGCTGAACCATTGTGTTCTCCTCCTATTGATGACCAGTTTTTGGCTGACATCGACTGGCTTGCTGAATTGGACACTATCGATGGAAATTTATAGGTCAAGTTGCTGATGGTTACAGCCTTCCTCAAGCACTTGGTGGTTCTATGATATGCTGCCAGAGTTTTCTTCCGGTGGGGGATATGCTAATGCTATTGCAGGGCACCAAGGAACTGAATTAGTTTTTTTAAACTACTTAATCAGGCCTCTTTGGGGCAAAATTAAAGTGTCGTTGTTTAAGATTCTTAGTTAGGCCTCTCTGAGGCAACAGAATACATGTCTTCTATGTAATAGCAGTAGTACATGCACTGCTGTCTTGAGGTTCAAACTCATGAAGTTTGTTTTGTGAGCATGATCCTCTTGCATCATTGCAATGTCTTGTATCCTCATTTTTATTCGAGTAATGCACAATTATTTTGTTTGAGAAAAAAAGTGAACATGTATCTGCAAGAAGTACTTAACATGTTGTGAAACCGGGCTTAATTTTCTTACTACACTCATGATCTGAAAAAAAAATGCAGTTCATGTCACAACTGAAACCGCGACCTGAGTATGACAAAAACAAAGTGCAAGGTACAAAATAACAGCAAATCTAAAGCAAGATAAAGGTTTTTGGTTCATCTTACATCATCCTCATGTAGCACATTGCAGAATCTAGCCACGCAAACATACGGGAAATTTTCAGAGACAGCAAGAGAAATCGCAAGTAAGGAGAGGAAAGGACTGGATCGCAACCATATCTATCTTAGATCAAGAAGAAAACTAACACGAAGCTAAAAAGAAATGTAATTATGTCTCGGAACATTAACGTGTTCCTCACCTGCTCTGCTCCACGTCGTTGAGAACACCGGCGAATATAATGCTGGAGATCGCCGGCGGTGGTGGATCCTAGCAATTCCGGCGGTGGTGGATCCTAGCAATTCCGGCGGCGGCGGCGGTGGCGGCGGCGGAGGGGGAATGAGCGGCACGGCTAGGGTAACCAAGGCAACCTAGAGAGAATATGGGCCGGGCCGGGCCGGACTTGCACTCGGTTGCTTTGCATGAACCGTAAGGCCCATAAGTACGGCCCAATATAGTAGGTCCAGTAATGGCTTGTTGGAATCGTGGATTTAGGTAGTAGACTTCAGAAAAAGTTATGAAAAAACAATTGCTCTAAAAAGTTCAGTAACCATGAATGAAAAACAAGGGATGACACAGACAGCTAGAGCTTGTGCATGCATGTATCATGATGCATTGTTACTGTTTTCATATCTAACCCCTTTATTTTGAAATGGTGGTCGTTCTACACGTGTAAAAAACAACAATTAATAGCGCTCTTAGGGCTACCAACATGATAAATTTGCTAACATGGCAAATAAGTGGAAAGGAGACAGAAACATCCATGTTAAACTTAATGACGTTGGCTTAATATCGACTCTTACCATTCATAAAAAGAAAATTTTATTATATGGTATAGCCAATTGTAAGAGATTAGCCTCTAAGAGCAAGTTTAATAATATAACCAGCTGCTAGCTTTAAAAATTGACACATTTTTTACACCCAATCTAATAGCCTATGCATACAATAGTTTTATATAAATACATATTGCAACATTAATATTTGGCCTACCTTTCATACACACGCTATATAGCTTATGCTGTAGCTGACTACAAACAAGCAGCCCGTTTTTCTTCTCTCTCTCCTCTATATGTGCTTGTAACTAATCTATAGCATATGCTATTGTATTTGCTCTAAGGCTGTGTTAGCTAAGGTTGGGAACCTTCCCTCCAAGCAACGAAACGGAGCGGTTTATTAACATATGATTAATTAAGTATTAACGAAAAACTTAAAAAATAAATTAATATGATTTTTGAAGATCCTATGCCAGACTCATCCTTTAATATGCCTTGGACTTACGTAATTATATCAGTTAATGCAAAGATGGCTAAAATTGTGAAAACGGCCTCAAAATTGCAGGATAAGGGCTCTACCAGATCGTAGGAATTTCATTGGTGTATAGACCTCAAAATTAAGGTTATTAGAACAACACATATTTACAATCGGAGGGAGTATCTCATATCATATCTGCCACTTTAATCTGAATGCAGATAGAGCCATTCTAAAGGTCAATGGGTTCAGGAATCAGCATGCAGGATAAGCCTCTAGCAGTCTGTAGATGACATGCATGCATATGCATGCTAGCAAGGTGCCAATCTTTGTGTAAGAAAGATGATCAAATCATCATCAAACGCAGTCTCAATAATGACTCAATCCTTGGACCTCACACCAATATATCCAAATCCAACGTCGTCGTAAGCATTGGCTGCATCCTTGACTTTGCACTCGCTTCTACTCTATCTATCTGCTATATATATGTATAGGAATAGGAGTATTCTGCTCTGCCTAGGACTGCGCCGCTATGACTATCAGACTATGCCTACCTCACACAAGATTCAGCGGCAACATCCAATGCATCATCCTGTGTGCAGCTGTAAATTGAAAATAATTTCTCTGCATGCCTTTGTGACATAGGAGTAATATTCAGGCTATCATCAGCATGAACTTTCTGATCATTTGGGTGAAAAACCAATTCCCTTTTGGACTTTTAAGTCTTTCAGTAGAGTTGAATGCTGTAAAAGATTTGGAGAGTTTGGCGAGTAGTAGTTGTTGGTCAACACTTTGCTTGAAACTTCATCCCCTGCTGATTCTGACTAATGAGTAATACCATGATGCAAGTCATGGTGTATACTTTTTTCAGATGTTGCAAGTCTTGATATCCTCTCCCTTTCTTTCTTTTGCTTTTTCATAAGTCTAACCAGTTGGGATATTTTGTTCGGTTGAGTGAAGGAGAATACAAGTAAATTACTAGAAGATGAAGAAGATCATATGGTGATTCTGTTCTGTACCCTGCTTCAACATGACTGACAGTAACCTTGGTTTTTAGCTTTTGACTCCTTACAGATGCAGGAATCAGAACTCAACAATGACAATTGAGATCGACTGATAATCATGGCGCAATAATAAATGATACGTTTATTTACGTGGTCAGACTTTGACATTCATATTGTTGTGACAGTCTGACAAAATTGAGGTTAACTAAAATAAACTACACCACCTGAAGAATTATAGTCTTCACCTTACTTTCAAGCATATATATGTCTCATTTTCCACCTTAATCAGGGAAATATAGTCAACTGAAAACTTTTTAACTTTTTGAATCCTTACAGAGGCAGGATTCAACAATGACAGTTGATACTGACAATCATGGCACAATTAATAATAACTGGTACGTCATTTACATGGTCAGACTTTGACACTCATATGGTTGTGACAGTATGACCATTGAGGTTAACTACAATAAACTAGACCACCTGAACAGTAATAATCTTCACCTTACATTCAAGCATATATATGGCGATTTTGTCAACGGAAATCTAGCTGTTAACTTGTTATTGAAGTTCAGACTGATATATCATCCATTTAGGCTACTGAAATTCTGCAACTAAGCTACTACTTTGTTACATTCATGTCAAATTTACCACTTACATGACATCCATTCAGACTGATCATCATCATCATCAGGCTAAATTTACCACTTACATAGTTAATTACATCTGACGAAACACTTGAGCACTCATCTCAAATCAACCTGTCGATCTGAACTCTGAAAGACACGCACGAACACGACTTAATTAACATCTGATTGATTAACTATGTATTATATATATCATTCACGATCTTGATCGATCGATCGATCTCGCTATATATATATATTTGTTCTTCATCGATCGATGGATCATATCATCATCATCATCAGTATTAACAAATAATTATTAATTTGATCATGAGGAGACGCTGAATGGCTTGTAATGTGCGACGGATTTGATGAGGCCCTGGATGGAGCCGGCGGCGGCGAGGAGGGAGACGACGAGGCAGGCGAGGCTGAGCACGTTCATCCACGTCCACGTCGGCGAGAATCGCCGGACCTTGGCCTGAGACATGTACATCTGGACGGGGAAGTAGACGGTGAGCGGCCAGAAGGAGACGGCGCCGATGAGGCCGAGGAAGTCGTTGAAGAAGGGGAACGCCATGGCGGCGACGGCGGTGAGCACGACGTAGGCCGTGCGCCAGACGAGGCGGAGCGCGCTGACGGGGAAGTCGCCGGCGCCGAGCGGCAGCCGGAGCACGCGCTCGCCGTTGACGAAGGCGCTGTCCGGCCACCGCGAGCGCGCCCAGGCCTCGGCGAACTGGTAGATGGGCTGGCAGAAGACCTGGTAGGCGCCGACGAGGTGGACGACGATGCAGACGTTGCCGACGTCGACGAGCCAGAAGGGCTCGTAGAAGCCGAAGCCGGTGAGGAAGTTCCCCGGCGCGCGGTTGCCGAACGCCGCGTAGCCGAGCACGCCGCACAGCATGTAGAACGTCGTCGTCGTCGAGACTCCGATGAACGACGCCTTCTTCATCACCTCGTTCTCCGCCGGGCTCGACCGCAGCGTGTCCTGCACGTTTACGCACACATTTTTGTCATTTCGAGAAATTTTACAGTTCTTGAAAAATTAAAGTACATTGAGATTTAGACTAAAAATTTTGGTATCTCAAAATACATAAAATACATAGTATCAGGAGATATTAAGTTTTATACTTCCCGATATCTTTTTAAGAAAAAGGATAGGAAAGATTTTACGGTTCTTGAAATGAAAAGGTAGTTCGAGATTTAGACTAAAAATTTTGGTATATCAGAATACATAGTATCAGAAGATACCAAGTTTTATACTTCCCGATATTTTTAAGGATAGAAAAAAAATTACAGTACATTAACTCGAGATATCTAAATTTTATAAAATAATAGTATATTTTAATATCTCTAGATACATGCATATTACTTGAAGATACTCACCTATCGGTAACTCACCTATCGGTATCGGATGATAAAATTACCCAATCATGAGATGCTCTCAAAACGCATCAAATTATTTTCTCACTACTTCATACAAATTAGTGTAAAAATTTGTGTTTGATTGCAATATTGACCTAGCTAGGAGAAGTACCACTAGAGTTGCGTTGAGATTTGCGTGAGACGTAAATGTGCAATAAATGCAGTGAAATGTATTGCCTCGAGACTTGTCTCATTTTTGTCATCCATCAAAACGCCAAAGGAAAGGACAGTATTTTGATTGAGGACAAAGACATTTCAAGATTTGAAGCTCATATAGTATTAGAGCAGGTACAATAACAGGCTATAAGCTAGCTATAAACATATTTTAAAGAGATAAAAGAAGAGAGAGAAAAGCAGCGGGCTACAGATCTGTAGCCAGCTGCAGCACGGACTCCAAGACGTAATGTGTGTGACAGGTGGGACCAGGTATTACTAGTATAGCAAGTAATTATTGTATGAATTGGCTATTCCATTGGCTATAGAAAATTTGGAGCTAGTACTATGCTATACCATTAAACTTGCTCTTAGTAATTAGGTTAGGCAGTCATTTTCAGAAATGGTATTAGTAATTAGATTAGGTAGTCATTTTCAGAAATGTTCTTGCATGTGAACTCTGAATTTCTGACTGCCGATTCATGATCTGAAATTTGATGGCCGACAGGTTAAGTATAATAAGGGATATATCGCTATCTACTTGCAAATTTCATGGCAAAACCAGTGGTTTCAATGAAGAACAGAGACTCTATGTTGACCAGTATGACCAAGATTCTGAAAAGGAATATATCTGTATTTTTCAGAGTATTTTTCATGTGCAGGAAACTGCAAAATCTGTCCTCTTGTAGGGTTCACCCATACTGCTATCTTTCAGAAATCTGTCCTCTTTGACAGAGCTCAAAAGATCACGGGCATACGGAACATCCCCAAAATTTTCCTCCTATTTTTTTCTCTCACTTTTCCTAATGTACTATTTCCTCCCTCCTAAAAAGAATTAAATATTAGGGATAAATTTGGACACATAGATTCATCCTTAGAGTTTAATTTTTTTCTTTTAGACGGAGAGAGTACTACATCAATTTACTTTTCTCATTTTATACTTGTCTAAATTTGTTTCACTGAAAAAGATAGCTTATCGCTCATGTTTGTATCAAGAGAAATATAAGCAAAGGTTAATTAAAATTAATTTACCTGAATTTCTATGAGGACATTGGAGTAGGAGTATGCAAAGGCAATGTCACCAAGTGACTGAAAAGTTCTCCAGATTTTCTCACTTGCAGACACATCCACTCCAACAGTCACCCCTGTGAGGGTTGCCTCGGGGTGGGCCCCACCTGCAGAGAACCACATGAATTCAATCATACAAATGCACTGCATCATGGCCCCCCCCCCCCCCCAACATGGATGATACAAACAAAAACCAACATGTCAAGTGTCCCAGGCTATGTATATACATTTTTGCACGCCTCAATTTTGTTTCTGCCCTACCAAAAATGTATATTTATAATATCAGCATCATATCTTCTTTGTTTTGTCCATTTCCCTTGTGAATTAATTGCATGATGTGTACACGGGAACAGAATAGATGAAGTAAATTAAAGACTTGGTCTCCATTTTTGGACCGAGGAGGACTTGGGTCTCTCCTTTGGAAAGTAGCGGTTTTACAAGAATTTTGTCGGATTTTCACAGGAACCAGTTTCAGTTCTATGTGCGGCGAGAACCAGAAAAAAATATTTCTTGCAATCCTAAGAATAAGATAGCCACACAAATTTGTTTTTGTCATCCATATATATCAGATGGTATATATTTACCTGCAATTTTTGCAATGGAGAGGCCAAGGCCAATGGTTGAGTAGGCCAGTGACATGACAGCAGCGACAATGGAGAGCCACCAAATTTTGTGAAAATTCGGCAGCTGCGAGAGGAGGATTTGGATGCCAGCAAATATGATCATGTTGGTCGTGTCAGATGCCAAGCAGGCTGCGTCGTGGCCGTTGCGATGGAACCAGTTGGACCGTTTGATCGCACTGCATATCATCAACAGATTTGTAAATTAACCATATGTTAGTATTCAGAGAAATTCAGAGTAACACTGACGAAAATCATATCAGAAAGAAAAAGGAGTGTACTGAAAATGAAATGAAAGGTAGGAATCAAGGTAAAAGTGTCTGATTTTTTTGTTTATCAATCATTAGTGGTAGTAGTCTAGTAGATGCTTATCACGAATAAGATTCTTCTCCATAGCCATGCCAATATGCAGAGCAGAGCAAGAACCACTCCTTTTTAGCTCGCTGTTTCTTTTTCAGTGGAAAAAGTTTTGGATACTCACTAGAATCTGAATATTTTCCAACTACTTTTGAACTGTCCAGTAATGTTATCTTCCCCAACTTTTTCTCTCCCACTATATACTCTGCTTTTTTTTGCCTTTGTTGGATCCTCAAGAAGACCACCTAACGTACTCAACCTAATTAATTTGACTGTCATAGCAGCCATGCGACATTTCAGAGAATGAATGAATGCTTTAATTACAATTTGCTTTGCTTTTGAGAATTATGAGTAGCCTCTTACCTATGTTGTCCTAATCATACTGTCAAACCTAATTAAACATGGCGACGCATTCACTATGACAACAATTTTTGCAAATGGCCAAAACATATACTACCTCCTAATGTATGACGCCGTTGACTTTTTGTCCAACGTTTGACCATTCATCTTATTCAAAAAATTTATGTAATTATTATTTATTTTATTGTGACTTGATGAATCATCAAATGTTCTTTAAGCATGACATAAATATTTTCATATTTACACAAAACTTTTGAATAAAATGAATGATCAAACGTTGGTCGAAAAGTCAACGACGTTATACATTAAAATACGGAGGGAGTATTTTTTTTTTCTTTTTGAGGTGGTCGGGCCGCGGGCGTGCCGCCTGTAAGTAAAGGCACGTGGAATTATGGAAATGAGATATATATTTGCGCTCCAGAAACTAAATTAAGAAGCTGACGAAAGCTAAACGGAATTTGGGACATGCAAAACATTATCCTACCACCTAGATATATAGTTACAAACAAACAAATTAACAGAGGGGCAGGCTGCATGCAGAGATATATGATGGAGGACATGTACTTGTACACATGCATCATCATGCATGCTTGCACGGCTAATTAAATTGACTGAATTTTCTCATCTACTGCTACTCACTCTACAGTCTACAGCTCTCAGTAGCAGTAACGTGAAGAATGGGTTAGTGAAGTGTCCTAATCAAGGATTAAGCTTACTCCACACTCTACTATGTACGTGCTAGCTCTCTCCATCCTAAAATACAATAACAATAACGCATATAAATTTAAACAGACTCTGCTACTTATACTTTTTAGATAATGGATTATATTAACCCGGCCTCTACACCTCAGAAGGTGTACACAGTCTAAACCACAATCAAGAGTACATAAGTTATACTGATTCATAGCTAAAAGCTTACTGCCCAAATTTACTAGAGTAATTAGTCATAGTAGACAGTAGGTACCCCATGCTGATGGCCGTAGTGATGGTGTAGCCAATGGTGACGCCGACGAGATTGACGTACTGTGCCACCGAGCAGAGCCTGTACTTGGCCACACCTGCACCCACAAAATATCTCCATCTCCATATTAGTAACAAGCTAAGTACAGTAATTATTACAGTATTAATTAGCAGTAATTGTAGTGATTAATTAAATTTACCTAGGTTGGCCCTGACGGCTTGGCCGTAGGTGTAGTTGCGCTTGCCATGGACGGGGTCGGGAGATCGGTAGCAGTCGGCGAGGAGGCTGGAGCAGAACCAGGTTATGACCGAGAACGCCACCAGCACGGCCGGCCCGATCACCCACCCCAGCTGCGCTATCGCCCACGCCAGCGACAGCACGCCGGAGCCGATCACCGCCGTTATTATGTGCGCGCTCGCCGTCACCAGCGTCCCTGCATATATGCATCCAAGTGTTCGTCCGGCCGCCGCCATTGTTATTACCAACCCATTAGCTTGCTTAATTAGCTTAGCTCTAGCTACCTCATCCATGGACACCGGACATACACCCACCTGTGCGCTTCTCGCGGCCGTCGTCGTCGAGGTCGGGGCGGTCGGCGTAGCCGGACTCGGCGAGGTTGAAGGCGGCGGTGGTGGTGGTGGCCACCTTCTCTTGCGGCCTCTCCATCCCCATTTCAATTCCTAGCTTAGCTAGCGGCGGCCACGTACGTACAGGTAGTACAGACTGAGTGCGCGAGGTGGAGGTGGTAATGGGTTAATGGCGATGGGGGAGGAGGAAGAGGAGGAGGAGGCCCTTTTGTAAGCGGAGGGGAGAGGAGAGAGCGTGTGCGGGTTGGGTTTCGCGAGGAGGACGACGACGAGCGGTGGATTTTCTACGCTCAAAAAGGCGATCTGTGCGGCGTTTCTTGTGTCTTTTCTTTGCTTCTTTTTTTTTCTTCTCTCTTCTTGTCTCTTGTCTTGTGCATCTATACCGGGAAAGATAACTAAATCTCTACTATTATAAAAATTGGAGTTGTTTTCGTAGTCCGTCATTCGTGTTTGAGTCGGTTATAAAAATTGAAGATGTTTCCGCGGTTCGTCATCCGTATTTGAGTCGGTTTTAATTTTATGTTTTTGTTTAATCTATATATCTTCTCTATCTCTATCTCTTCTCTACTAATATAAAAATTGAAGATGTTTTTGCCGGTATTTTGGTACATCATCCGTGTATGAGTTAGTTTTTAAGTTCGTTTGTTTTTGGAAATACATATTCATATTTGAGTCGGGTTTTAAGATCGTTCACTTTTGGTAATACAGAAGGAATCATATAAGAAATATGTTTAAAAAAACTCACATGCTAACTTGAGACGATCGGACTCCTAACTACAGCTCATGATTTTCTCTCTCTCTCTCTCTCTCTCTCTATATATATATATATATATATATATATATATATATATATATATATACATATATATCGAAGCAAACTCCCACAGCGAATAATGTCATCTTACCTAAACCATATAACAATAATAAGATTAAAATAGACTTCACCCGTTGCAACGCACGGGTATTTTTTCTAGTTTAATTAACATTAAATTTCTCATAGAACTACATGTTTAAGGTGGAGTATCACCAAACTATAGATTTAGTAATAAAATTATCACAAAACTACATGTTTAGTGAAAATTTAATCACAAAACTTACATGTTTATAACTCAAATATAACACTAGTGCTAAGCATTTAAACTCCAAAATCTGTAGTGTTGTGGTAACTTTGTTACTAAATTTATAGTTTTGTGATACTCTACCTTAAATCTGTAATTTTGTGGTACATCACCTTAAATATGTAGTTTTGTGATAATTTGATGAAAGTATATATAGTTTTATGAAATTTATTCATTAATGTATTATATACCACTTCATAAACATACAAATTTAAGTTTTACTTCTATAAATTATAAATAAATAATAATAATTATAAATGTGGATGTACGTAAGAAACGAGGGGAACCCCATCTCACTATCACACTAGCTAACTAGAATATAGTGTTACCTATATAGCTGGAATAAGAATGGAATGGGCTAACAATATATACTACGGACTATACCAACAATGAAATGACAGGGGGGAGAAAATTAGAATAAAGTTAATTTTGAGGAGGCATTAATTGACAAGATTGGAGCTTCTCTCTTTTCTTGAAAAATACCTGTTATCTGCCGTCCATTCTTTATGGTCTATCAAGCATCTGAACCAAACAATTATTGGGTTTGCTTTGACGACGCACTGCAAATCATCCCTAGTACATCGACATGTTTCTTCTTCCTCCTCTTCTTTTGTTGCTAGCACTTGCCTCCTGCAGCTGCTACCTAGCTAGCTATGCTCCAGGTCACCTAAGCTAATAACCTTGTCCGATAATACTAGTACATGTTAACAGGATTTCTCTATGTGCATATATATGTAATGGATGCATGATTTTCAAGCAATTCAAGTGTTAACTATTAACATAGGGGGATTGCTAATTGAAATTGCAAGGAATTTCGGTCACCTTTCAACCTAGCAATCCCCTTTGGGCACGATGAAGAAGCTAGTCTGGTCTAGCGGGCCCTAATACCGTTGTTGGCGTCTTCTGGTATTGACGAGGCTACGGGGAGTGGTTGGAATTGGAGATGATGGTATCAGAGGAGATGAGCGCAGGTGTATGTGTTGCAGGAAAGACGCATATGGGGAGGAAAGGGTACTAAGGTTAATGAGTTTGTTATCTAATTAAAAGTGACTGAAATTTGTGGGTGTTTTCAGACTAGTGGTTGTGTGGAATTATGGAACTAATGAGATGTGCATTGGCTATGTGCTTCTCTAAGGCCTCGTTCGATCTCCTGCTTGGGAGGGAGATTTTTGTTGCACGCAGAACGAGAAAGCTCATTAGTACATGATTAATTAATTATTAACTATTATAAATTTTAAAAATAGATTTATTTGTTTTTTAAAACAAATTTTATATATTGACTTTTTAAAAAATACAATTTAACCGTTTGAAAAATGTGCTAACGGAAAACGAGAAAAAAGAAGTTTGGAATTGAAGAATATAACTGGGCCTAACTGCTGAAGAGTTTAAAGTTTATAACAACGATCGACATCCGCATGTACGAACTAGGTGTTGTCTCCTCGTCAACACTCGAGTCTTCTCTTCAGCTGGGGTCACACACTTACATGCAACCATGTGCTAGCTAGCTAGCTACATGATCAGATGATCCAGTGTACACTGTTCTTGCACAATTCTCCCTTCGTTTTCAATTCGCATATATCAGCTTTTGCAAAAAGGGCTAGCTAAGCTAGCGTAATCTCTGCTATTCATTCTGGCTCACGACAGCCACAAGATTGCCCCAAGAGGCTAGCATTTGGTACGACAAACAGTTGACGACAAAAACAAATGTGTTTACACATCGATCAACAACTTAGCTATCGTGCTCCAACTTTATTCGATCGATGTTACCATCGATGAATATATGCATATATAAATTGTAGATAGCGTGCAAGCAATTAATATTTGTGTATAGAGATATCCTCCAACGAATTAACTTAATTATATATATACAACGCAATTAACCAGTGGTAACCAGTAATAATAATATTAGTAGCTACTCCCTCCGTTTTACAATGTAAAACTTTCTAGCATTACCCATATACATATAGAAGTTAATGAATCCAAACACATATATATGTCTAGATTCATTAACATCTAAATGTATGTGAATAATGTTAGAAAGTCTTACATTGTGAAACAAAGGAAGTAGCAATTATAGATCGATCGGCGATCGCACATAGAAAGAGACTTGAGTGTTGGATAATAGTTTGGCTATAGTGTATTGCAGAATGTCAAGAATCGATCGTTTGTTTGTGAAAATGTCAAGAATCTTTCAGTCTTTCACGGGGCTGCACATATATAGACACCAGCATGCTGCCACACGTAAAAAGCGACTCGTGTCTTTGTATCTTGTGCTTTACGACTCCGTGATGTACGTCGTCGTACGTATCTAGCAAAGGTCAAATGTTCACAAATTACTAATTTGAAACATTTCAAACAATTTTTGAGAGGTTATGAAAGCGCTAACAAAACCACTCAAGACAGATACGTGGTGATAGAGCAGTGGGTGGCTGGGTGCATATATACATATATATTCTACTATTATCTATAAAAAATATACATATTCTACTATCTCCTTTCGGAAATATTTTGCCTACATCAAACAAAGAAAAATAAAAGAGTACTTATCAAGATACAAGTCCTAGTATTCACAATTAATTACACACATATATGCTCTCCATATAGTATTACATCAAGGTGATATGATTTTTCTAAGAACATTTCTAGTCTATACATAACTAAGATGTACGCAGTCGAACATATAAAATCATACTAAAAAATGTGTATACCAAATGAGAGTTTCTCGAGCATAACAAGACAATCACTAATATTTCATCTTCTAATCTCAAGTCCTCAATATTCTAGTGGAGACTGGAGAGTACATAAATTCAGTGACTAGTGAGAGTGAGCCAAAACTCCTTTTTGACTCTTGGGGCCCCTGCACGAATTTTTCAAGCTGTGCAAAACAATGGAGAAGGAATCAATATCAATCAATCAAATTATAATCCGCACGGAACGATCACTAAATAAAGAACATTAATCAAGCCGCTCAGGCATGATTGATGGCCTAAATTTAAAGACAAGGGGAAATGCAGATTAAAGGCGAGGAATGAATCATTTCGGCCTGATTATATATTATGCTGCTGCATGCAACTACTAGAACATTGCTGTTCCTAGCTTACATTATTACACAGGTACAGGATGTGACAAGCTTTATTTCGATTTACAGAATATCCGCATACGTATACAGTACACGTAGCAAACACCGCACATTTCTTGTTCTTTGGAAATTGGCTCGTGGGTTCCACTGTATGTTGGGCTATTTGGTTAGTAGAAATAATATGATTTTTTTATTAAAACACTATCAAAACCTCTTATTTGCAGGTACTTTTTAGGGCAACATATTGACTCCAGGGTTAGGCTCAACTACAAAGGCACGATGATGATATCAAGCTAATAAAGTATGCATGTCGTAAACTTGAGTCGACGATTACGCACCTTTACACCAACTTCAGATAGAGATTCTCAGATAGAATTTAGTAATTGTGGGTTCTTTTATCTTGTGTTGGTGTTTACTAGTTTGTGTTTACTTTATGTTATGTTAGTGTGTGCTGAGATTGTTCATGTGTGGACTTTGTAATAATTGAATGTAACTCGTTGAGCAAAGGTCGGAATGTTATTCCATTATCTTAAAAAAAAGACCGAGTTTTTCACCTTGCCCTAGTTCTATATAATTCCAAGCATTTTTTTCCCTAAATTTGTAAAGAATTTGTATGGAGTTAAGATCCTAGACCTAGAGCTTGAGTCCTAGCTAGTCCGCTTAGACCAGTGGTATATTTTTGATCTTACTATATCTTTTGTTAGAATCTTACTATAATTACTAACATTAAGATTGAAAGAAAAATAGATTCACGTATACATATAGCATCCCACTTACGACACCATAGCGGTGGCAACTTTGCAGGCAGTGCCGGATTCTCAACCCCTGGCCGAAACAAAAAAAGTTGCAAGTAAAGATCGTGCTGAGATGCATTATACCCCACCAAGTAATGTACACGTGGACGGCCAGGAAGGCAAGATTCAGATCTCACCGCGGGATGAGATTGAGTGGCTCAGAATGGCTCTCGATCAGTCTCTCAGTTACACCAAGTGGCAGCATGCACTCATCACTGATCGCATCATCAGCTGCAGGAAATTAAA